CCCCCCCCCCCATGGGCTTTTTACGTTGTGCCGCGTTTGCTTTAATTTTTTAACAAAAGACTAACCGAAAGCAAGGAAAGAAAGGGAATAAAAGAGAGAGAGAGAGAGAGAGAGAGAAAGAGGACGGGGTAGAACTGAAGAAACGAAAGCCTTTTGACACGCGTGGAAAGGAAAGAAGAAACTAGTGATCCAGTGAACACGCTGGAAAGTTGCATCGTTTCATTGTATAAAAACGTGCGTATGCCGACCGCCGAGTACGAGCAATATCGAGTGATTCCACGTTTCTCTATGCACGTCTTAAAACCGCATACTATCGAGACATACTGTCGCTTTGCGATCTTGTAAATGCACTTGAGCACGCATATCCTCTCGCGAGCGCCGTATTCTTTTGCTCCCCTCGTGTTGAGAAACAAGAGTGAGCAATGCTCGCCAATCCTTCGATTGCGAGTTTAACAAGGAGTATTTCACGTCACACACAGAGCCGGGGTGTTCTCTTCGTTTTCCTTCTTCTCTCAGAGACGTAACTTCTTCTTCTGTCTACCGTGGTGACAACTGATTTCTCGATATAGCATAAAACTTAGAAACCGAAGTACCTAGCTTCTGGATCTTGCAGCCGTGTACACGGTTTAGCCTGACTACTTAGACATTATACTCGTGTATTTGTTCGCGGAAGTCGCTGCAAGGTTCGGAATCGTCATTTCTTCCGTTAACTTCCGTGTGTTATCGGTGACTTCTGTCCTAGCCGGTGGGACCGACTTCGGGCAAAAATCAACTGTCTGTTCAACGTCGAGGGAGATAAAATAGATTATTTCACATAGCACACAGTTCAATAAACTGTAAACGAAAGCAATGAAAGAATATAATGCTATTTTTATATGTTGCATCACCTCTCGTGGTGACCTATAGCTGTACGAACTGTATTTGAGTTACTCCTTTTATTCGTATATACCGATTGGGCCATTTCGTGTCACACTTCGGATGATTTCGTTTTACGTTCCGATTTTCTCAACGCGATCGATAGGTGCATCGCGTTCGGACATCTATTGGAGAACTGCTGTTACTTTCAGTCTAAATCGTGATTTGATCGATGATATTTTTTTATACTTTGTAAATGGAATTTAGTATCGTTTGAAATCATGTCGTTAGAAATTGTGAGAAGCATTCTCATATAATTTGATGAGAAATATCCCCATAA